TCAGCCAGAGCATTGTGCTTTCCCGGCTTATACTTCACCTCGAAGTTATATTCCGCAAAGAAGGGTAACCATCTAGCCATCCTCTGCGAGAGGTGGGGCGACTGAGTCGCAGTGCGTAACAACGCATGATCTGTGTAGATCACAAACGGCTTGGAGCCGAGCATGTGGACCCTGAACCTGACAAGTGGATCCTTCATCGCAAGTAGCTCTTTGTTATGAACTGAGTCGTTCTTCTCCGCAGCGTTGAGCTGTCGAGATTCGAACGCGATCACCCGATCTCGCCCCTCGGCGTCTGCTTGCAGCAGTGCACAGCCGATGGCAAAGTCCGAAGCATCACAGAATACGCTGAAAGAACGATCGGGATCTGGCAGTGCCACTATTGGTGCATGCAGGAGACTGTCTTTGACCCTGTCAGAAGCCTTCTGGTGTTTGGTGTTCCAACACTATTCCACATCCTTTTTAAGGAGATTGGATAATGGCCGCGCCATTTCTGCGAAATTTATGCTGTACGTGTGCAAGTAGTTGGCGAAGCCAAGCCACTTACGCAAGTCCTTCTGGTTCTTTGGAACCGGCCAATCTGCAATGGCCTTGACCTTAGCGGGATCCGCTCGAAGGCCACGCTTTCTAATGACGCACCCTGAGAGGGAATCTCTTCTGCGCCAAATACGCACTTGTCTGCATTGGCGTTCAGCTTGTTAGTGCGCATGCACTCGAGCACCGCTCTTAAATGAACGATGTGGTTCTCTTCATCCGTCCTCACGTGCTCCGCGCGACTGTGAACAAAAATGTCGTCAAAGTATGTCTGTGCATACGCCCTGTGGGGCCTGAATAACTGCGTCACAAGAGGATTAAATGTTGCTGGTTCATTTGACAGCCTTTGGGGTATCACCAGCCACTCCCAGAGCATGCCGCTCGAAGTGCTTAACGCTGTCAGCGAAATGTCACTTGCTCTCATGAGCAATTGGTAATATTCATCTACCAAATCGAGTGCACTGTACTTCGTACACCCCACCATGTTGTTTTGAAGAACATTCTTTCTAGGAATCGGCGTCTATGCCAGAATTATGGCAGCGTTGAGCTTAATATAAGCCTGAACGATACGCCACTTGCCGTTTAGCTTCCGAACACAAAGCGTGGGTGTCGAATGGGGAGACTTGCTCTCACGTACCATCCCTGCGTCGTGCTTCGCGCGGA